ATATCTTTTGCCGTTTCGACGGAATTAGCGCAAATTCCACTCAAAAATTTAAAAAACTTTTTTTCAAGAGGGTGTTTACTCTCTAAACGTCGAGATACGCAGCTAGAAAAAATACGGGTCTAATATTTTTTCAATGCTATATAATATATTCAAGGCTCATTAAAATCGGTGAGGGAGATTTCCGACCGTTCCTTGTAAGTGAAATATATAGCGTATATATTGTTGATAAAGGCGATGCGGATTGTGATGCGCAGTGACGTTGCAAAGAAATTGAAAAGTAATGTTCGCTATAATTTGCTGTTTCGGCAACGATCGTTGGTTTTTGTTTGTTCGATGATTATATGATAGGAAGTGTGCAAGAATCTCGAAACGGTACCTGTATTCTTGTATCGTCATATTTACATTATTTTCATGTACGTCATATTTACATTAATTTTCATGTACGTTGGAGTATTGGTGTGTGTCTTCCTCATTTTTGTGATTATATTCTGCTTGTCTGAATGTGTGTATCTGTGCATATAGATGTGTGTATGTTAAATCTAAAAAACAAATAGATGTGTGTATGTTAATCCCAAAGAACAAATTCAATTCCACCAAGTGCGCTTTTAGATACAGATGATGTCAACGCTAATTTTGAAAATAATATGCAACTTTACATTTCTAAATTTTATTGTTGAGGGAGTTAAAAGATTATTTAGAAAATGGAAACAAGATTGTTCTGCCATAGATTTACTTTTTTTATTTTAATTAAAACAATAATCAAAATTTTTTTAAAATTGTACACATTGATCATTTTAAACATGCGGATTACTATAAAGAAATTTTCACAGCATAACTTGATTTTTTGCTAAGAGATACTAATTAGTAACAAAATTTACTTAACATAACTTTATCACTTTGTACACTGGTGTTTTGATTTGTGTTGAAAATGAAAATACTAAGAAATGTGAGCGGATATAGAAGACAAGGGATTTTTGTGCAGCTGCATAGAATATAATTCACGATCCATTTCTGAGGGTGTGGAACATATCTCTAACATCTCGTGCTTTTTATCATGCGGTTTTTCTAATGTTTGAATTATCAAGCGTATCTGGATATCACACACACACATATTATAATGTAACAGTTAATAATTTCTCTGCATTTTATTTGTATTGGACGCTGATAAAGGCTCAAAGAAAGAGCCGAAACGTACGTCGTATCTCATTTTTGTAATTTGTATTTTAACACTGTAATAAATTGGATTAATTTAAAAAAAAATATTATATCATGCTTCATTATCTGCGCTAAAGCTCTTATAGCCAATTACACTTTAATGATCTTTTGTTTTAATTAGTAGAGCTATTTTAGAGTGACAGAATCGTCATCTCGGTTGCTAGTTATTGACTGTATCACGCAGGCTGGAAAATGCTCCCCCCCCTCGTTTTTTATCAATATTAAACAACAATATGGTTGTACAGCAGTTAACTTATTTAAGGCATGGATTAAATTTCAAAAAGTTCGTATATACATGATGTTAGATATGCGTGAGATTATTATATTTGCGCGCTTAAAGTAATACGCGCACGCGTGTAGGCTCAGCGAATAAGTTCACGACACGTGCGTGACGATAGCGATGCCGAGAAGACAAGGAAGAGCCCTCAGGAGGGAGCTCGAAGGTGGGAGATATATCGGAGCAGTCGAGCGACACACACACGCGAAAAATACTGTACCCGTTTAACGGACTTTCTGTTTAAAGTAAATCTATTTTCAATATACTGAATATTGTTATTTGGTGATCCTCACATACACAACAATCTTGGCGACGAGGATGGGATTATTCTAATCTCGCGTACGTAGAAAGATTTATTTGTGCAAGACGTATATTCGTCGCTGCGGCGGATTCGACTGATCGGTGCGTGATCGCCACGTGCTCCGGGCTACAACGGCTCGTGCTACGAGTCGTGATACGAGGATAACGGCGACGCTGTCATACGAGGACGTAAGTCAAAAATCCAAATTGTGGAGCGAAGATTTTAAAACCGCTTAGGGGCAGATCATGGCACAGGCTACCATACCCGGGTCTCTTGCAATCGAAGCATTTGACTCGGCGAATACGACGTGGAAAAGATGGCTGCAACGCCTTCAAGGAGCCTTTATGATTTTCGGAATCAAGGACCAGGCTAGGGTCCCGTATTTGCTGCATTACGTGGGGCCCACGGCATTTGACATGCTAAGTGATCGACTTGATCCGGTCGATCCTTTCACTGGTCGATACGACGACTTAGTGAGATGTCTACAAGAATATTACGCGCCGGCGCCGCTGGAAATCGCAGAGAATTTTACTTTCCACCAGCGGAAACAGCAAGAGGATGAGTCTGTACAACAATACGTTGCCGCATTACGGAAACTTAGCATACATTGTAAGTTCGGCAACTACCTTAACACTGCACTACGGAATCAACTGGTTTTTGGACTGCGCAATAAAAAGGCTCAGAGTCGGCTGCTAGAAAAGACGGACCTGGACTTCGATGAGGCTGTCAGGACTGCGGTTACAATGGAACTCTCCGACAAGAGCTCAGCGCAGATGAAGGAAACGAGTGCGGAGGCAGCCGGCGTGGCGTATCTCAAGGCAGGGAAGAAACCTCCAAGAAAAAATGCAGGTGATAAACGGCCGAAGCAGGAGGTCACGAGATTCGAAAATTCGAGACAGGCGAGTAAAGAAAATAAACAGTACAAAAACACTAATGTAAAATGTTTTAGGTGCGGTAAAGGTCATTTGGCAAATAAATGTAATATAGACAGGAGCGTACGTTGTCATAGCTGTGGGAAACTGGGGCACTTACGTGTGGTCTGCTTCAAGAATACGTCCTCCACTAACAATTTAGAGGAAATGCTCAGTTTGGAGCATGCGAACTATCGCGACAAATTTCTGTTGTCAATGGAGATTGAAGGAAAAAAAGTCGAGTTCGAGTTAGACAGTGGAGCGGCGGTTACAGTAATGAGTGAGTCTGAAGCGATCAAACTTTTCCCAACAGCGACCATTCGTCATACAAATTTGCGTTTAATTTCATTTTGCGGGCGCGCGCTTAAATGTAAAGGATATATTACAGTCAGAGCTAAGTACAATAATTCAATTGTAAACGATTTGAATATTTATTTAATAGGCGGAGTCAGAAAGCCATTATTAGGACGCGAATGGATTAGGCAATTTAATGGGCACGTTTTTTTAGCCTGTAATGCTCAAGTAAATACAGTAACAGTAGACGCAAAAAGTAAGCTACAAGCAATATTAGAGAAGTATCGAAATATTCGCTCTTCAGAATTTGCTTCAATTAAGGACATACAAGTACACTTAAAGCTAAAAAAAGACGCGTCCCCGATTTTCGTGCGAGCTCGACCAGTTCCCTTTAAATTACAAATGTTGGTTGAAAAGGAGCTAGACACATTAGAACAAGCGGGTATTATTGAGAAAGTAGAGTCATCTAAGTGGGCTACGCCCATCGTGCCAATTTTGAAAAAGGATGGAAAAATTCGTATTTGCGGTGACTACAAAGCTACGCTAAATCGGCATTTAATAGTTGATGAGTACCCTTTTCCTGCAGTTGACGAGCTATTTATGAAACTTGCCAATGGAAAAAAATTTTCAAAAATCGACTTGAAACAAGCGTACTTACAACTAGAAATAGCACCCGAGGATCGCGAGTTGCTAACGATCAGTACAAGTAAGGGACTTTACAAAGTAAATCGTATGATGTACGGAATTGCGCCCGGTCCGACAATATGGCAACGCGAAATAGAAAACATTTTACAAGGAATACCGGGCGTGGCAATTTTCTTCGATGATATTGTAATTACGGGCAGTACAGATACGGAGCATTTAACACGACTTGAGGAAGTATTAAGTAGATTACACAAGTTCAATGTTCGAATAAATTTAGAGAAATCGAAATTCTTTTTAGATAAAGTTGATTATTGCGGTTACGTAGTCGATAGGGTAGGCGTTCATAAGGATAATCGAAAAATCGAAGCAATACAGAATATGCCACGACCTAAAGATGTATCAGAAATACGGGCTTTTACAGGCATGATAAATTATTACGGTAGATTTATACAAAATTTAAGTTCTATTTTACATCCTTTAAATAAATTATTGCAAAAAGAGGTACGTTTTGTATGGTCTAAAGAATGCGAAACGGCATTCAACAAGGCTAAAGCGGCGTTTACAAGTAAACAAATGCTGGTTCATTTTAACCCGAAATTACCGTTGGTTTTAGCAACCGACGCGAGCTCGTACGGAGTCGGAGCCGTGTTGTCACACCGATATCCTGATGGATCTGAGAAGGTTATTCAATTCGCGTCACAAACATTTTCAAAAGTACAATCAAAATACTCCCAAATCGACAAGGAGGCATTTGCAATTATTTTTGGTGTTAAAAAGTTTGTTCAATTTCTATACGGAAACAAGTTCACGTTAATAACAGACCATAGACCGCTTGTACAAATTTTCTCGCCTTCTCAGAGTCTGCCTATATATTCAGCGATGCGTATGCAACACTATGCTATTTTTCTACAAGGATATAATTACGAAATTGAGTACCGAAAATCTGAGAGGCATGCGAATGCGGATTGCTTATCCAGACTTCCCGTGGACGCGCCACAAACGGTAGCGGATACGGTAGATGCGTATCAATTGGAAGTAATCGAAACCTTACCTGTAACGGCGAGTAGAATAGAGATAGAAACACGAAAGGATAAAACAATAAGAGAATTACTAGAAGCATTACAGACCGGGAAAGTAATACACAAATCAAAGCGTTTTAATATCGAGCAAAACGAGTTTAGTTTACAAAACAATGTAATTATGCGTAGATCGCGTGTCTACATTCCAAAAACGTTACAAGCTGAAGTATTAAAAGAATTGCATTTAGGACACTTTGGAGTAGTAAAAATGAAAGGGTTGGCTCGTAGCCATTGTTGGTGGCCAGCCATTGATAAAGACATAGAAAATTTGGTTCGAAATTGTGCAAACTGTAATAGTCATAAGAACAATCCTCCAAAGGTGGAAGTACATTTATGGGAAGCGCCATCAGCGCCAATGCAACGCGTACATGTTGATTTTGCGGGGCCATTTTTAGGAAAAATGTTCTTGCTCATGGTCGACGCTTTTTCAAAATGGCCCGAGGTACATATAGTCCAAGACATTACTGCAAAAACGACAATTGCAAAGTGTCGAGGAATGTTTGCAGCATACGGATTACCAAAAGTAATAGTAACCGATAACGGTAGAACTTTTGTTTCTTCGGAATTTCAAAGATTTTTACAAATCAATGGAATTGAACATAAACGTACTTCACCCTTTAATCCTGCAACAAACGGTCAGGTAGAACGTTTTGTTCAAACGTTCAAACAAGCATTAAAGCGAATGAAGTGCGAAGCTAAAAATATTAATTTTGCATTAAACAAATTATTATTACAATATAGAACAATGCCGCATGCGTCAACTAACAAAACCCCAGCGGAAATGTTTCTAAATCGGAAAATATCCACTAGACTAGACCTAATGATTCCGCAAAACAGTAATTTAAATACTCATTATGATACTATAGAAAATGTAAAAACATTTGCATGCGGAGAGAGAGTTGCGTGTCGGAATTATTCCGGGGGAGAAAAATGGAAGTTCGGTGTAGTATCGGCAAGAAAGGGGAAACTGCATTATACAATCCATTTAGACGATGGCCGCTCTTGGGAAAGACACGTAAATCAGATGCGCAAAATCGGAAAAGATACTCCTACAAGCTGTTTAGAAAACGACCACTATTATTGGGATTCTGAACAGTCTCGGGAACCGGTACGCTCGAACAGTCCTGTAACGCTAGACACGGAGAATTCTCCGGAGGTGCTAGAAAATGTTGCGCCAGTTTCCTCACAGACCAACCAAGATGTTAATAGGGAAACTATATTAGAAACTCAGCGTCGCTCTGCTAGAACTAAGAGACGCCCAGATTTCTTTTCCGAGCGTACAGAGAAGTAGAAGCTTTCGATAACAAGAGAGGGTGTTAGATATGCGTGAGATTATTATATTTGCGCGCTTAAAGTAATACGCGCACGCGTGTAGGCTCAGCGAATAAGTTCACGACACGTGCGTGACGATAGCGATGCCGAGAAGACAAGGAAGAGCCCTCAGGAGGGAGCTCGAAGGTGGGAGATATATCGGAGCAGTCGAGCGATACACACGCGAAAAATACTGTACCCGTTTAACGGACTTTCTGTTTAAAGTAAATCTATTTTCAATATACTGAATATTGTTATTTGGTGATCCTCACATACACAACACTGACACTTGAATGTTTGACCGAATAAAGTTAATATATTTTGCTATTCACAAAGAAAAGAATATTTAAATCATCGACCGGTTAACCGGTAATGTATACCGTTTCGTGAGAACTGACTGAATGATAATATGAAAGACGTAATAACGGTATTTATCGCGTTCAAATTGTGACCGCACAATGAAACGAGTCCTGCAAGTCCACACAAGTCTTAGATCGAGATTCTTCCCCTAATAGCAGAGTATATTCGAAGGATACCAGAGGACATCCAACATCCTCTGGATGGCCTCTCAATATTTTCTTCTCCATTATGGTCGGCATGATATAGCAATGACTTATTATCAGAGATGCTGATTAATTAATTACTTTTAAATTAATTATGACATTTAATTACAAACAGATGTAATCAAATGTAATTAAAATATTTACATATACGCGCACATATACGCTTAAATACTCGTTTAACAATTTATTACGATCATCCCTGTGTTTGGTCCCAAAAAATACGAGTAGGGTTACATACTCTTAGATTATTTCTGACAGAAAAAAATTTATTTGTTAATAAACAAAGCCCGGAAGAGTTCCGCTTTAGTAGATATTTACATCAGAGATGCTGATTAATTAATTACTTTTTAAATTAATTATGACATTTATTTACAAACAGATGTAATAAAATGTAATTAAAATATTTTGAATTGACGATTAATTTTAGAAAGATTAATTAGAGATCGTTACAATGACGATTAATATAAGCTAGATTAATCGAAGATCGCTTAATTAACGATTAATATGATCGAAGTCAATTGAAGGTTATTTAATTGACAATTGATATAAACGAAATTAATCGGAGAGCGATTGATTAAACGATCAATACAAGCTAATTTAATTGAAAGTTTTTCAATTAAACGATTAATATGAGTTAATTTTAATTAGAAGTATTTTAATGGACTTTCGAAAAAAATAGATTCAATCGAAGACAATTCAATTGACAAATTGATTTGAGCAGAAACAATTAAAAAGTATATAATTGACGATTAAATATAGCAAATTTAATGCGAAATCTTCCATTAATGATTGACTTAAGAAAATCGATATAATAATAAGAATATTTTAAGTCGGCTCCTTAATTTTAAAACCACAATCTACACTTTATTTCTCTCGACCAATAGAGCCACACGCGATGTTATTGCGATAATTAAGAAAGAAAGAAAATTTGGAAACTAAGGAATTTTAATCCTATGGTTGGGATCTCAGAAATTCCCCTTTTTCTTTCTCTTAACTTCCCTTGTGAAGAAACGGCGAGAAAAATATTGGTCTGAACGATTCAGCCGATTTTCGAGAAAAATATTTTTTTCGAGCCCAAAAGTCGACTGAAAAAGCTCGGACCAATATTTTTCTGAAAGACTTCAGAAAAGACTGGCAAAGAAAGGCATCTAAATTAACGATGATACATATTCTTTTCCTTTCGAATTTTTAAATAGTAAGAATAGGTTACTGTCCACTCTTTTGTGCTTTTGTTCAACATTGAAAGGAGAAAAACAACCTCTGATTTATAATGTCAGAGCGGACACAACATCTATAAAAATTACAATACCTATACAATATCTATAAAAATTACTCGAATTTGTAATGAATTTAAACATCAATGAAACAAATGAATTTGAGTCACCTTTTGAGGGAACACAATATGGTCGAAATAAAAAAGAAGATAAATTTGAAAAAATCGAATCTCTTTGAAAAAGAAAACAATAAAATTTGAAAACACAATATACACCTGCTCCGTCTCGTCCTTGAAAATGTTAAAATACCATTTTAAATATAATAGCATGACAAGTTAGAAAAAGGATATCGCTTTGATGGATTATTAAGATCTCAGAGCATTACAAATGTCTAAGATTTTCTTTTAAGGAAACCCTGACTCCAATTTCCAGGAAACCTCCTGGACATCTAAAAGAGAATTTTAAACATGTGCTTTGAGATCTTAATGATCCATCGAAGCGATATTCTATTTCTAACGCATAGATAGAATATTAAAATACAATATTTTAAATATAATAGTATGAAAAATTAGAAATAGAATATCGCTTGGATAGACCATTAAGATGGACCAAACACGACAAATGTCTAAGATTCCCCAAGAGTTTCAGGATTCTCTAAAGTCTCCGCGAAGATAATAGAAAATTCGTATAAATCGAAGGCGCGCTGTCGCGTCCTCGCTCGCTGACTGATAAAACGTCGTCGTCCAACTGTCCGTCGCCTTTCGTCATTCACTACTGACGAGTTTGCGTCGGAATTTTTATTGTGCCCGCGCTTACAGTGACTGGGTGCGCGCTTTGGCGCAGCATGAATATAAATCCCGCCACGGAAGGGAAAGGCGAGCTACGTCAACGCCGATGAAACAAACGAGCTTCCTCCGCCATACTCTCGTTTCCCGCCGAAGGGTGGCCGATGATACCCCAACAATGGCCTGCCGCCACCAACCTCCTCCCTCGGTCCTCTCCGGCGTTTATAAACGGAAAAAAAGTCGGCGCGTCAATGGTTTTCTCTCTCTGCCTGGCGCTTGAAAAGGCCCGCGTATCTTATCGCCGCCAATCCGCGCTCGCGTCGCGTCGCGTGAAAAAAAAAAAAAAAAAACACGAGAAAAGGCGAGACAGGTCCGAGCGAAGGCCGCGATACGACAAAGCGGCGTAATTAAATAAATGCTCGCGTTTAGCGGCCCAAACAGTAGCGCGCCGTCGTCCCTGTTATTGTCGGCCGGGGATGTTAATTAAATTAATCGAGACCGCGCGTCGCCAGCAGATTATTTCTCCGCTCGTCACACGGCATTAACGCGTTGTCTATATATATATATATATATATATATATATATATATATATATCTCGCTCTCTCGTTAGTCGACAATTGCAGATTAATTGTAATGACATTACAGCAATGTCGTAACACGTGTGAGTGTGTAACGTAACTAAACATCATGCAGCGAAATTGATTTAAAAACGTATCGAGGTAGACTTGAAATTCGTATTTTAAGAGTCGCCTCGCGAATATCTGATTTTTGTCGTTCAAATGAAATATTTGGAGAGCTCTCGTTTAGTAATCGAAGATACGTCGAGCATAATTATCGCTGGCGGGAACGAACGTCCGGTTGGATCCTTTTTTTTTGGATCTTTCCCAAAATAGTGGTGCAACTCGTGCGACGAGACAAGGTAGATTACGCGCGCGCGCGAGAGAGAGAAAGAGAGTTAGAGGGTGGGAAGGTAGGGTTGGCTTTCGTATAAAAGCACGGGGGCCTTCGATCGACCAGTCATCTACGCAACAATGGCGCTGACAATGGGCAGCGGGCCAGCAGTGTTTCATTAAAACATGCATTGAATTCGAGAGAGAGCCGACGAATTGGCTGAAACCGAGAGAGCTCGGCAGAAACTGACTCTTCTCCTTCCATCATCCCTCGGATGGAGGACGTCGCGTCTGATTGAAACGACGAAAAAGTCCGACCCTTTCCAACGTCGTCGTCGTTGTTGTTGTTCCGTTTGGGCAGGAAACGCGGGACCAGAGAAAGAACGGCGAGAAAGAGCTGATCGAAAGCGGGAAGACAGGTTGCCTGGGTTAAATTGGAATTGTCATGTGAGGGCGAGCGAGGCGAATCAAAGGAAAAACAACTTGTATAGGATTGAGTTTAATTGTGAGCCTCTCCGAGACCGCTCCCGGTTCACCGACTTTCTCTTCCCTCACCCCCTCCCACCCCCGCTTCACTTCCGGCCACGGCATTCGCCGAAACTCCCATGGTCGACCTTCGCGGACAGAATCGCGTCGAAACCCTCTCTCTGAAAAAAGAATAAAAATGCGAAGAACCGGGACAGAGAGCGGGGTAGTCGAATACAGAGAGCATGGAGGGTTGTCGAGAATTTTCGATAAACTGGCGATTAGAGGACCGTTGTCTATCTCGACGGAAAGTCGACTCGGTCGAAGATCGGACAATTGTAATTGATTTAACAAATTGATAAAAGAGAGGTCAACTAAAACGAGTAATCTTTAATTTTAAATGATGCGCTG